GTCACAGCCAGCTACCCAGAGGGACCGAGTAGTTGATCCTGCGGGCTTGGGACCATAGTCGCAGGGGACATCAAGCTCAATTGGCATATCATTCTACACAAAACATTGTTCCACCTACTACTTTGGTGAATAGCCACTGGGACCTTAAAAGCTAGGAAGCTGCCATCTAGATGCAACAACGGGTCTCTCCTTGTCAAGAAGAAAGAAGAAAACCAAAATTAATGGCAACAATCAGTCCTAGCGACTGGTACACCATCTGATCTGCAACCTATACAGCTATGAGACCAGAAGAACTAGATGGTGCCCAGCTACCACTGTCATCCACTTGGAAGGGATGTGGGAGATCCTGCATAGAGAGGGAGAATAATGTGGAACAAAACTCAAAATCATTTGGAGGCAAAAAAAAAGAAAAGAAAGAAAGTGGGCACCAGGTATGCTGGTCCAATGGAGCCTGGTGTGACCACTGAGACTATGGCCCCTAGTTGCCCTTCAGGTCTGGAATTGAACCCACAACTGTGGTTTCCAGCCAAACAAAGTACAGGCATGTGAGTTAAACATTTACCTCAAGTAGACACACGCCCTGGAGAGAACAATCATGGGAGAAGGAAGGGCTGCTTATGCACAGGGAGATAGCTCAGGGTGCAGAAGAGTATGAAGGGATGGACACTGGGAGGAGAGGAGGTAACTATGGGGAGGAAGTGGGAGGGGAGCTGCTGCATTGTAAATTTTGGTCAATGACATGAGACAAAGTATACGTGAACTGCTGTATAAAAAGTGAATTTACTCTGTAAATCTTCACCCAAATCCTAATTAAAAAAAAAAAGAAAAAGAAAAAAAAAAAATGTCTGCCTTAAGCCTGTCTTAGGCTGAGTTCTCTAGAGAAGCAGAACCAGTGAAGCTTATGTATATATACCTGGAGAGAGAGAGATTTTATCTCAAGGAAATGGCTCGTGCTGCTGGAGAGACTGCAGGTCCCAAGTCGGTGGGTCAGCTGTCAGGCTGGAGGCTTCTCTTGATTGACATGGCTGCAGGGGCTGTTGAATCCAAGATTGGCGGGCAGTACAGCAGGCTGCTGGCTTGGAGGCTGACCACTCCAAGACTAGCAGGTAAGATGGCAGACTCTTGGCTCCCAGGCTGTGCAGGAAACAATCCCAGAATCTGCAGACAGTACTTCAGGCCACTGATTCAAGTCCAGGAAGTGAGGTCAGGTGATGCTCAGCCAGAAGCCAAGTCCAGATGGAGCCAAAAAGCAGAGAGTTTTGCCAGGACATCCATAATCATATATTGGAAACTGGCCACACCCCGGAGGAATCTCCTTTTGAACTGATTGGCTGGTTGTCTCTGATCTCATCATGGAGGTGATCACATTATATTACATCTCATTGTGGGGGGATGACTACGTTATAACTGCTAAACCACTGAGGGTCACAGCCCGGCCAAGTTGACACACAACCTTAACTATCACAAGCATATATGCTTTTTAAGACCTATCTATATGGGCAGGTTGGACAATCTACTTCTGTAGTGATACTACCTCGGAAACCCAAGGAGGGGTTGCTGTGAGTCGGAACTGACCCAACAGCAATGCATTTGGTTTGGTTCATAGATGGGATCAAATTGACAACAACAACTGAAAAGGTTAGGAATCGGGACAGTGAGTGTATGTTCATGGGGGAAGAACAGCTCAGAAAAGAAGGATGAGAATGGGTGCACAATTTGAAGAATGGAATCGGTCACTGAGCTGTAAATGTTGAAACTGTTGAATTGGTAAGTGTTCTGTGTGCATTCTTAGCCCATCTAAATTAAAATAAACACTGAGTGTTAGCAAGTCTCAAATCTCAATGAATTGATGTGTCTACTTTCTTTATTTTAACTTTGTTATTTGGGTGAAAGTTCACAGAGCAAATCGGTTTTCCATTCAATACTTCATGCGTATTTTGTTCTGTGGAATTGATTGCAATACCCATGATGTGACGGTTCTGTTCCCTCTTCCTTCCTGTGGTTACTGTTTTTCTGTTTTCATTCCTCCTCCTTCCCTGTCCCTTCCTGCCTTCTGAGCTTTATCCCTGGGTAAATGCTGCCCATTTGATTGTGTTTGGTTGATTGTTCTAGTGAGTGTGTACCTCGGTGGTATTACCGTTCGCCTTGCAGGCCTTTATCTCATTTGGCTAAGGTGTTCTGGTCACGTAATGATTAAGGCATTTGGCTGCTAACAGAAAAGTCAGTGGTTCAAACCCACAGCTGCTCCGTGGAAGAACAATGAGGCAGTCTGCTTCCATAAAGATTTACAGCCTTGGAAACCCAGTGGGGGTCTCTGTGAGCCAGAATCAACTCGATGGCAGTGAGTCTGGTTTGCTGCTGTTTGGCAGAAAGTGGAGCCACAGGGGTGAGTTCAGTCCCAGGCTTGAAGAGTGTCGTGTCTACTCTCTCTGACCACAGTGCATGTAAGTTAGTAGTCAGTTCACCGAATAGAAGAATTCAGAATCCCTGTACATCAAGAAATTGAGACATACCTAAGTAACATTTGGGTCAAAGAAGAAATCATAAATAGTATTAAAAATCTAATGGAATAGTAATGAAAATACTCTGTAATCAAAAGTGTGGAATTAGCTAATGAAATACTTAGAAGAAAGAAGAAGAAGGGAGAAGGCCTTATGTGTATATATTAGGAAAAATGGAAGAGACTGAAGAAGATTCAAGTGGGGGGAAAAAAACCCAACAGATTAAAAACCCAAAGAAAGTAGAAACCAGATCCACTGCCATTGAGTAGCTCATGACTCACCCATAACATTTCTAAGACTAAATCCTCATCTTTTTCCTGCAGAGTGGCTGGTGGGTTTCAACTGCTGACCTTTTGGTTAGCAACCGAATGCCTTAACCACTGTGTCACCAGAACTCCTTTAGGCGCGTATAGGAGGGGGATCACCTGCAGACTCCGGTGGGAGGTCTGCATGAGAACCTCCAGGGAACATCTTTAACCTTCATTTACAGTTACCTTCCTTGGAACTCACAGGTTCTTAACAAGATGCCAGCACCACAGCTCAAATGCATCATCTTTTCGATCTTCCTTATTCATTGTCCAGCTCTCATGTGCATAGGAGGCTGTGGAAAATACTGTGACTTGGGTCAGATACACCTTAGTCCTCAAAGTGGTTTCTTTGCTCTTTAACACTGTCAAGAGGTCTTTGGCAGCAGATTTGCCCAGCACATTATGTGGTTTCCTTTCCTGACTGCTGCCGTGAGCATTCATTGTGGATCGAAGTAAGATGAAATCCTTAACATCCTCAATCTTTTCTCCATTTATCATGATGTTGCTTATTGGTCCAGAGGTGAGGATTTTTGTTTTATATTGAGGTGTGATCCATACTAAAGACTGTATTCTTCAGTCTTCATCAGTAAGTGCTTCAAGTCCTCTTCACTTTTAGGAAGCAAGGTTGTGTCATCTGCATATCGCAGGTTGTTAATGAATCTTCTCCAATTCTGATGCCACATTCTTCTTCATACAGTCCACTTTCTCAGATTATTTGCTCAGCACACAGATTGAATAGGGATGGTAAAAGATACAACCCTGAGACACTCCCTTCCTGAGTTTAAACCGTGCCGTATTCCCTTTTTCTGTGTGAAATAGTTTCCTGATCCATCTCCAGGTTTCTTATGAGCCCCATTGAGTGTTCTGGAATTCCCATTCTCAGTGCTACTGTAATGTGCTATGATGCACACAGTTGAAAATTAATGATACTGTTTGATAATTTATGCATTCTATTGCATCACCTTTCTTTGGAATGGTCACAGGTATGGATCTCTTACTTTCAGTTGGCCAGGTAGCTGCCTTCCAAAATTCCTGTCATAGATGAGTACTTCCAGCACTGCATCCATTCACTGAAACATCTCAATCAATATTCAGTCGATCCTGTGATACAGAAAATGAAAATCCAGTATAGGGAATTAACAAAGACAAAGAATTAGTTCTTTGAAAGATCTAATTAGCAAGCCTGGTGAGATTGATGTAAGGTTGGCAGGGTGGGTGTCACACCTTGTTCCACTTTAGGGAGAGGAGAGTGAGTCGAGATCCGTGTAAGGCCAAGGCTGATTCCGCTGAGGTAGAGGTCAAACACACCTGGCCCCTCCAGCCTCATTACTGGTTCTGACACCCCCATCCCTCCACAGCATGCTCTGCTTCCCTTCTGGGTCTGATAATTTGTTGCAGTAGCCACACGGAGCTCCTAGACCAAACTCAGGGTTACAGGGTTTATTAGGGAAGTAACAGGTTCAGCTAGGGATGAGGGTCAGGGTGCGCGTCGGGAAGGTCTCCCTTCTTCATCGCAGGCCCTTCTCTCTGCTCTGCGCTTCCCCTCTCGGCTGTGCAGGCTTCCTCTCAGCCCCTTGGGGACACACCTTCTCTTGGCTCCCTCAGGACAAGCTCCTCTTGGCCCTGCCCTCTGCCCTGCTTGGGCAAGTTTACAAAGTGCTTTAGCTCCGCCAGGCCCAGGAGGCACCCCACTCCAGCAAGCCGCCTGCCAGAAGGTGCTCATCTCTCTTGCTCCGTGGGCTGTATCGCTCCCTCTGGTCTCCTGCTCCCTGTCCTTTCTTACCACTGCTGCTGTTACTGCTGTCTCTCCTGGTCTAGGAGATTCTCAGCACAGGGACCCAGGCTCCACTCCCATCTTTTCTTCTGGATGGTAGTGAAGTCCCCCCTACAGCCTCTGGGATTGGCTCATTTTGAGCTTAGGGGAGTGGCAAAAGAGACCAACCTCTTTAGAGTTCCATGCACCTCATTTGCATTATCAGCAGGCTGTCTAGTCCCGAGTGGGCCACAAACACCTTATCCCATAGTCCCACCCAGTTATTTAGTGGGAGTTAGCTAGCAGACAGCGGCTTGAAGGGCCATGTAGGGTAATTAGCTGCAGCACAGTTGATCAAGGGGAAAAAAGTAGGGACAGTAAATAACTGTTAGGAAGGAACATAGGGCAACTACAGATACTGTAGATAATAAACCAGATGGTAAAGGACAAGTCCATAAAATGTTACGCTGATACATCTGAACACTGAGATTTTTCCTAGAAAAATACATCTCATGCAAATTGATTGAAGAAGAGATACAAAGCCAGAGTAGTCCTAGAAATGTTTTTTAAAAAACAAAGCATTAGTTAAAAACCTTCCACAAAGGAAACATTTGGCTTGCATGGTTTTGTCATTGACTCCGTATCCAGTCTTCCAGGAACTGTGTTCAGGATCTGTCTCCTTGGTGTCCTGTACGTTCTGGGACCAGCGTCAGTGTTTAGTGAAGATAGTTTGTAACATATTTTAGTATCTGGTAAGACAAGTCTCTGTGCCTGCTAGTTGTCTTTTTCAGTTTTTTTAAACAATTCTCATTTGTTTCCTTTTCCTGCTAAACACCAGAATCATTTAAATTCCTGAAAAACATTAAGAATTTCTTATTTTAACTGGGGGTCAGAATTGGATTAAAATTACAAGTTCAATTTAGAAAATGGGCATCACAATTATTAAGTACAATGCCTTTTTTTTTTTTTTAATAATACTTCATTGGGTTTCAGGTGAAAGTTCACATAGCAAATTAGGTCTTGAACAATTTTGGTGGAAATCATCCTGTGCAGTTGGTTGCCATTTTCGCAATGTGTCTATGTTGTGATTTCTGTTCTGGTTGCTGTTTCTCCTGATCTAGCTAACCTGCCCTCCTGCCTTGTCCCCTCTGGTTTTGGGCCAGTGTTGACCGTGTGGTCTTACGTAGTTCATTGTTCGAGGGACCACTTTACCCTCGGGTAACGTTGTTCATTTGTAAGCTGGTCTGTCACGCACCTGAAGGTGAGCTGCAGAGGTGGCTTCAGTTCGCCGTTTTCTTATAAACCACTTGTTTGTGAGCCAAGTTGCACCCTGTGGATTTGACCAGTTGCTTTCCTGTGATGTTACTGAGCATGTCCCTCTGGCCCCTGAATTTACCGTGAGCTGTTAGGTCTGGAAGGTTCATAGGACTTAGGTTTGATGGTGGAGCCCAGACTTTTTATAGGTGGCACATTGTCAGGATGATTAATCGTCCCCTTTTCCTGGGACTGTCGTCTGGGACAGCTATGTGTCCTGCCATATCTCGAGGCATCGAGTGTCTGGTTCTCTGTGTGTGTGTGAGTGAGTGAGAGAGAGAGAGATGTTACATTGATTAGTGGTGTCAGGGTTGGCGACCTAAGCCCTCATTTTAAAGTTCTCTGGCACAAGGTTCTTGGTTTGCCTGGGGTAGACCCGGTTCCTGTGACTTGTCCCGATGTCATCATCCATGGGACTTCCTTTCACTCTCACGCTTCCTGGCTTAGCTTGCTTTCCCTGGAAGCAGAGCCAGAGGTAGGGATCCAGGTGCGTGTGACTGAGTGACAGGGGGCTGCTTGGAGGACCCTGTAAGGGAGGGGAGGAAACACTGCAGGTGAAGGCTGGCCTGACCCGAGCCCTCCGAGGGTTCGGGAGCCCAGGTGGCCCTGCAGGGTTGTGCAGGCCTTGTGGCTGGCTGCCAGGTCATGTCCTCCCCTAACAGTCCCCCGCTGGGTGGGCCGCTGGGAGACGTTAGCAGCCGACCGCCATGACTGTTAAGGGGTGCTGGGTAGGGCACTGCTAGCACTCTGTGTGACTTTAGCAGCCGTCGGTGACCAGAAGATGCCATGTCATCTCCAGCTTGGTGGGACTGGCTGCATTTACTGACTTAACGATAGAGTGAAAACACTTGTTGCCTCGTTTCTACCAGGTCTGTTTGCTCTATAATAAAGGGGAAGCCCTGTCCGGCTACTGCACCTTCAGAGACAAGTGCGACAAGTACCACGTGTGCAGGTCCTTCGTCCGGGGGCAGTGCAGGCTCCAGAATTGCAGACGGTCCCACCAGCTCGTCCACGCCAAGGCCCTCCAGCTCATCAGGGACCAGGACCTGAGCCTGCCGAGTATCATCAACTTCCAGCTCATCGCCACCTACAAACACATGGAGCTGCACGGCACGCTCGACGATCAAGGTGAGGGCGTCCGGGCTCCGGGCTGGGCAGCGTCCCCACGGTCAGCACTGTAGGGTCGGGGTTTCGCACTGCAGAGTGGGAACAAATGTGACAGCGCTTTCTAGGGTTCGTTGCTGCTTTGTCATCTGAAAAGCAGTTCACAGTGTAAAACCAGTCGACTCCTGATGGCCCCATGGGTGTTAGTAGAGCCGTGCTCCCGTAGGGGTTTCATCAGCTGATTCCAAAGTCGCCGGGCCTTATTTCTTTGTGCCACGGCCAGGGCTCATCATTGCCTCCCTCTGGCCTTGGTTAGCGGGTCCCTCCTAACCACGTGGTAGTGACTTCCTCCTGCTGTGGATTGCGTTACTTCCCAGGTACTGGGGTCTGGTGTGAGCTCTGGCCAGCTGGCCACATGGTCCCTCCATGAAGCAAGGAAGGGCAGAGCTCACCTCTCTCTCTCCTTTGTTCACATGTCAGCTTGTGCTGAGGACCCTGACGAAGAAGGCGCGGGCCTAGCTGAGGCTGCAGAGGCCGGCCCTCCCATCTCTGTCCCTGCCGCCAAGAAGCCAGGCCCAGCAAAACCCTGAAGGGCGTCGGGGGAGTGAGAAGATGCGTGTCCGTCCGGCTGGAAGGTCTGAAGACAACGCTTCTATTGAGCTTTAGTTTGCAACCATCATTCGTTTAATCATTTGTTGATGTTGGTCCCAAGGAGCGGGTTCTGGTGGCACAGTGGTTAAAGCACTCAGCGGCAAACTGCTGGGTCCGTGAGTCAAACCCACCAGCCTCTCCGTGGGACAAAGATGAAGCACTTGGCTTCCGTAAAGACCGACAGCCTTGGAAACCCTGTGGGGCAGTCTCAGTCTGGCGTCTAGCGGCACTGTGAGTTGGAATTGACTCGTGGCAGTGGATGTAGTTTGGGTTTCGGTCCTAAGAATACCTGCCTGATGGTTACGAGAACTGGAGATGTCTGATGGGGCAGGAACAAAGGAGGGGGTGGATGGTCGAGGATGAGTTGGACGTGGAGTGGACAGAGGGGATAAGCATGGGTGCATATGGGGGGTTGGTCCAGGGCAAGCCCAGGACACGACAGCCCCCGCTTGTAGCCCCCCTGCACATGTCCCTGTCAGGTGGAGGGCTCTGAGCTGTGATGAGCAGCCCACCTGCACAGTCGTGGTCCGTGGAGGGTTTGAATGCCTTCTTTGTCCTCACTTTGTGGTGTTCCATACATACCCTCTGCGGTGTTGACATTTAACGCACGTTCAGAATCGATTTCAGCGTGGATGCGTTTGGTCCCGTTACCATCACGTCCTTTACTGAACTGTCCCCTTATCTGGGATACTTAGGCTCTTGCTAACAAATTTTGAAACCACTTTTCTTAAAGTCCCCACAATGTGGAATTTCTAAGTTACTCATTTACTTAGCTCACAGGTGCTAGAAAAGTGCCATCTTTTAATTGGCACTTCTTTAAATAGGTGTGAGTGAGTGTTTTCTGTTTCTCTTTCCCTTTTAGATTTGGGTGAAGATTAGAGTAAATTCACTTTTCATACGGCAGTTCACATATACTTTGTCTCATGTCATTGACCAAAATTTACAATGCAGCAGCTCCCCTCCCACTTCTTCCCCATCGTTGCCTACAAAATGGTGCCCTCCGGACTGGCAAAAGTCCACAGCTCAGCCTACCTTTCTCTTCACCTTCTCCGTTTGTTCCCCAGCCACCTTGCACAGCCCGTGCAGTCCCTGGCTAGCCGGGTGATTTTTAGGTTAACTCTTAGGTCCTACCACCACAGGAATCCACGAGAGCTCTGTCTCTTTAAAAATAGTCAAGCCGCTTTTTAAACCTACAGAATGGCGGCGCCCTCCGGACCGGCAAAAGTCCACAGCTCAGCCCACCCTTCTCTTCACCACCTCTGCTTGTTCCCCAGCCACGGTGCACAGTCCGCGCAGTCCCTAGCTGGCAGGGTGATTTTTAGGTTAATTCTTAGGTCGTACCACCAGTCGGGGATCTCCGAGCTGCCTGTACTGTCAGGGTCACTCCGTTCGCTGTCAGACCGCAGCTCCGTATGTCTCCTTTTTTCGGTATTTTCACGCAAATTCTTCTGCTAATTGGGGTTTAGTCCAATTCTGTATCCTTCCCTTCAAGGCTCAGGGGTCCAAGATTATCTTCTGTGTCTGTGTTAATTGGTTTCCCTTTTCTTTGTTGAAGAGGGTCTGTGCAATCCTTCTGCCTAGTCCGCCATCTTGCCGGAACTCCTCTATTCTGTGTATTTTTTATATGTCCTTTTTTTCTGCCGCTCTTCCCTGTGCTGGTGTGAGTGGACCCTGAGTTAATTTTCCTAAGAGGATGCCACCCGTTCTGTGATCCTCGGCCAGCACAGTGGAACATAACGAACCCTGCGTGCTCGGACATGACCGCCTCCGTGGCCCACTCTGTCTCCTATGGAACTCCGCCACAGTCCACTGCTGCCTCTGGGATGCATCCACTCCTCCTTCATGGATCTGGAGGGGCCATCAGGATCCTACATCCCCAAAACCTGTTGCCAAGTCAGGTCTGACTCGCAGCGACCCTGTAGCACAGAGTAGGGTTTCCAAGCTCATCACTCTTGACAAGCTAGGCTGCTACATCTTTCTCCTATGGAGTGGCTGGTGGATTCGAACCACTGACCTTTTGGTTAGCAGTTAAATGCTTAACTGGCGCATCACTAGGGCTCCTTGGGAATGTGCATACCTCGCTCACAGCACTGGGACTCTCTGCTTCCTCTCTCCTCCCTTCCCCACCACCCTGCCCCCAGCTGCCTTGTCAAGGCCTGTTTAGCTCTTACATCCCTAGTTTTCATCACAGGTGACCTCAGAGAAGCTACTTTACAAAATCACTTGCTGTAATAATAATCCAATGTCAGTGTGGAAAATGTTTTTTCAAAAACACAGCTGACCGCTAATCACATAATATTTGTGAATTTATCATAAAGCTAAATTCAGAGATATTTTTATCGTGAAATGCTGTCTTTTCAGCGGGTGGGAGGGTGTCCCACGTGCTCTTAAAATGAGAAACTGCAGCCTCTTCTCCTAAATGGACAAGGGGAGTCACACAGTTAATGAGACCTTTCCCTTTGGCTGTCCACCACAGTGTCCCAAAACCCTTCGTTTCTAGGCTAGATTTCACCCTGGTGCTAACTTTTTTAAGAAGAATTTTTACATTTTATCAATTTTATCACATACATTTTTGTAACTGAAAACTCACACTTGTTGCTGTGAGTCAATTCCAGTGTCCCCGGAGGACGCGGTAGAAGTGCCCCGCAGGGTCGCCAAGGCTGTCAGTCTTCACAGAAGCAAAGCCTAAACCAAACCCACTGCCTTGAGTTAATTCCGAATCAGGGTGCCCCTAGAGGAAAGAGTGGAACTGCCCCACAGGGTCTCCAAGGCTGTCAGTCTTCACAGAAGCAAAGCCTAAACCAAACCCACTGCCTTGAGTCAATTCCGACTCACAGCGCCCCTAGAGGACAGAGTGGATCTGCCCACAGGGTCTCCAAGGCTGTCAGTCTTCACAGAAGCAAAGCCTAAACCAAACCCACTGCCTTGAGTCAATTTCAACTCAGGGCGCCCCTAGAGGACATAATGGATCTGCCCACAGGGTCTCCAAGGCTGTCAGTCTTAACAGAAGCAAAGCCTAAACCAAACCCACTGCCTTGAGTGAATTCCGAATCAGGGCGCCCCTAGAGGACAGAGTGGAACTGCCCACAGGGTCTCCAAGGCTGTCAGTCTTAACAGAAGCAAAGCCTAAACCAAACCCACTGCCTTGAGTCAATTCTGAATCAGGGCACCCCTAGAGGACAGAG